TTTGTCCGAAAGTTCCCTAACAACAAAAATGTGTCTTGGTGTTATGTATCTCATCAATTTCCCACCTTCCTCTCCCGGGACAGAGGGATTTCTGTTTGCAGAATCAAGCCTTTGTTTTAGGACAATTTTTTTTTTATATATACACTTGAGTGTAACAGATGCGTCTATAAAGATGCTACACAAGCATCTTTATGAGTGTGGTACCTTCTTGTTCACCTTTGAATGGTGTCAGTTATTGGCTGACAGGTGCCGAGAGAAGCAGCAGTGAGACAACCGAGAGCTTTAGTTCAGGACGTTATCTAAGACGCCCACCCATGAAACCTGTTGTCATTGCTGGGAACCCCTCGGTGTTCAGCCTTCAAATTAGCAGGGTTTACAGCTAGTGTGTAGCTTCTCTGTCAGTTCAACACGCCCCGCCGTCGCTCTCCTATAGAGGATTCGGGCCTAAGGCGGTCAGATGGACGTCAGAGAATCTGCATCTGGAATGACGTCTGGGGAGCCCTGTGTCAGATTTCAGGCTGTCCTTTTTGTCCTAGATCTCAAAGCACTGAGGAGGCATTTTTATTACAGATTGCAGTTATTTACCGCAATCTTTGAGAGGGATGTTTTTATCTTTTTTTTTTTCTTGAGTTCTAGTCATTGTACAATGTTGTGTCAAATTCCAGTGTAGGGCACAATTTTTCAGTTACACATGAACATACATATATTCATGGTCACATTTTTTTTTTTTGCTGAGCTACCACAAGATCTTGTATATATTTCCCTGTGCTATACAGTATAATCTTGTTTATCTAGTCTACATATGCCTGTCAGTATCTACAAATTTTGAAATCTCAGTCTATCCCTTCCCACCCCTCGCCCCCTTGGCAACCACAAGTTTGTATTCTATGTCTATGAGTCTGTTTCTGTTTAGTATTTATGTTCTTAAATTATACCTTCTCTTTCTGGCTTACTTCACTTAGAATGACATTCTCCAGGAACATCCATGTTGCTGCAAATGGCGTTATGTTGTCGGTTTTTGTGGCTGAGTAGTATTCCGTTGTATAAATATACCACTTTTTCTTTATCCAATCATCTGCTGATGGACATTTAGGCTATTTCCATGTCTTGGCTATTGTAAATAGTGCTGCTATGAACATTGGGGTGCAGGTGTCATCCTGAAGTAGGGTTCCTTCTGAATATATGCCCAGGAGCAGGATTCCTGGGTCATATGGTAAGTCTGTTCCTAGTCTTTTGAGGAGTCTCCATACTGTTTTCCACAGTGGATGCACCAAACTGCATTCCCACCAGCAGTGTAGAAGGGTTCAGAGGGATGTTTTTTCTTAAATCTCTTTTTTTCAATCTATCAAGTCGATTTTTCATTCTACTATGTTGTTTTTAGTTGGTTTCAAGGGAGAGGATAAGAGGAAAAATGACATTATTCTGTCATTTCAGATTGTACTTGCATTCTGTTTAGTAACATTTCTAAAAATACACTATACAATGAAATGCTAAGTGATTTCCCTTGTTAAAGAACTAAGTTATTCAGTGTACTTAAAATATAGGTTTACTTTTATTAACTTTATCCAAACAACTTTCTAGGAACTGAAATGCAGCTAATAAAGAACTTGTAACCTGATAGGAAAAAAATACCACCCAACAGTTGCAAAATGAGAACCACACCTTCTGTAATTGAAAAAATTCTTGGTGCTATACAAAAATATTGATGCCTATTTCTAATTTTCCTTATTTACAAGCGTATTCATTATAAAGGTGTCATTGGTAAAAATAAAAGCAATCATTGTTGGGATTCAGAAAAAAAATTTCACACCCTGAAGGTCTAGTCTCCTGAGCTTTAATTGGCCAGTCGTAAAGCCAAACAGAACCATGTGAGTTAAGCTGCTTTTCAGATTTTACTTCCTAGAATGGGGCTAAATCTGAAAACTGTTCCTTTAGACAAAATCAACTGCACAGGCATTAAATTAGGCGGTCTCGAATGTCCCTTCCAACATGAAAACTCTATAATCCAAAACTTTACCATCACGTGCCCGCAAAGTCTAACTTATGCCCTATGTTTATAAAGGCCAACAAAAAGCAAGTAGACAATTTCAAACTAAAATTTAACTTAAACAACTTGTCACACTTTCCATATTGCTTCATAATGGGGTCTAATTCCTTTTTCTACGATTCAAGGCTTCCAGATTTCTAGAAAGCCCAGTCATGTATATGACAGTACTTCCAGCAAGAGAGCATGGGGCTTGATGTCTTCCAGACTCGACAGGAGTCCCCCCGCCCACCTCCCTGATCCATAGTTTTGCTAAACTGTAGTCTATCAAATAAAAAATTGCAGAAATAAACGATTCATAACTTTTAAACACATTGTCCTGAGGAGCGTGATGAAACCCCGGGTTGTCCTGCCCTGGACGAGAACCACCCCTTTGTCCGGCGTATCCTGCCCGTGAGTCACCGGATGAACTCGTGGAATCGCGGTACTTGGGTTAAGTAACCCTGGTTTTATTTAATGGCCTGAAAATGCAAGAGCAGTGATGCTGGCAATTCAGGGATGCCACGCAGAAGCCTGGGAGTGCCTCCCTTGAGTGAGCAAGGTGAAAGCTCTCGACAATACGAATTCACGTGCGGAGGCTGCTAAGATCTGTGATAAGAAGGAAGCTTCCATCTGCAAAACCGTGAAGAAAAATTCACGCTAGTTTTGCAGTCGCAGCTCAAAATGCAAAAGTTAGGGCCACGGTGTGTGGTAAGGGCTTAGTTAGGATGGAAGTGGCATTATATTTATAAGGTATTTTGAAAGAAAGACCACATTCACATAACTTTAATCAGAGTGTATCATTATAACTGTTCTATTTTATTAGCAGTTGTTAACTTCTTACTGAGTCTAATTTGTAAGTTAAACTTTATCACAGGTATGTACGTATAGGAAAAAACATGGTAGATATAATAAGTAGGGTTCAGTACAGCCCGCGGACCACACATCACTGGGTGTCCTGGGACGTCTCCGCCATGGATCTGGGGGAAATGACTCTGTTTGTTTTTTGTATTTGCCAGGACTACCAGTTTTGAGTTCAGAGACCCAAAAAGTTTATGAGCAAGTTTATGCTTACGGAACCCCACAATAGATGGGAAGGTGGGGGGGCTCCAGAATGATGGTAATCAGTTCAAAAATCCTCTGGATTCTGTTGACGTATCTTTAAACTCTATTTTGTTCTTCTGTATCAGCTTTTTCCAGATGACAGGAAAAAAAAAACCAAAAACTGGGGAGGGCTGCCATGCTCAGACTAGCTCCTTTTGTTTCAGATGTTTGAAATCTCAGTCTCCAAGACAGTAATTCAATTTGGGCAAAGTGCTCTGCCCTGGGACCAGGACTGGGTGATCTATAAAATGGCAGCTCCATTTTGAACATAGTACAAATGGAAAGAGTATCTCCCCCAAAGAAAGGGATGCTGGATGACTTCAGAGACGGGAGAGGAAGCACCATGCCTTTCTCTTCATCTGATCTGCCTAATTCACACCATATCCATCACTGCCAGATGACAAGAGGGGGAAAAGAGGAGCTTTCACTTAAAAAATCTGCTCTATGCCAGGCACTCTATGAGGTACTTTGTATAAATCATTTCAAATTCTCCCAACAATCCTGTGAGGTAGGAATTATTAATCTCACAGTCTCAGGTGAAAGATTGACAGAGATTCAGTAAATGTCACACAGCACTAGAACTATTAATGATTTCATTTTACTATTTACATGGTTTCTTTTATTTGGAAAACTCACAGTAACATAAAATAGTTCCCATCATACGCTGCAATAAGCATAAGCTGAATGAAGTTAATGAAAAAATAACCAATAAAGACACGACTGGCAATACTATTCTTTATTCATTTTCCTTTTTGAGAGAGAAGCATGCTTTTGTACAGCACCTGTAAACAAGTGAAGTATATTGTTTTGAGTTTCCCCATAAATATATATTATTATTATTATTATTATTTTTGGAATGTTAGAATACCACAGCGCCAACTGCATTACAGAATAGTTACTGAAGGCAAGTCAGGCTACAACAAGGGTAAAATTTTATGGCTAAAAATATTCATAGCAGCAACTTTCAAAAGATGATTTTATTAAATCAAGTCATTGCACTTGGTCATTTTATTGCTACAGCAAAACAAGGCCATTAAATTTTAACACTTCTCATTTCTGATTTGAACTGATTGTCTCATTCTGTTCATACATTTCAAGTTTAAACGCAAGCATAGGATGTTTTACCAAGACGTCTAGAGAGCACTTGGGTTTTTTCTCCTGTGATCACAGTAAGAAGCATTAAGAGAGAATCCTCTGTTACGCCAGGCCCACTCTCTCTTCTATCTTCAGACTTAGATTTTCTAAGAGGTAACAGCTTTACAGTGTGACCACAGCTTCGTGGTCACACGCACGCACGCACACACAAGACTCCTAATATCGAAATATAATTAGGAAAATTAGTAATGTTACGTGTTTCGAACAGCAAACCTGAACACCACATTCACTAACAATTTGGCAACAACAGATGTCATGCTGTTCACCTCTAGTCTGTCATTTATACTCACTCATTAAAAAAAAGATTTATCTCCAAGTAAAAGCTATTATTATTACAGACCATTCTGTGATATGAACTTTATAAACGGGAATTAATACAATTCCTGTTATCAAGAGCAGACATTGGTAACTTGCTAGATTAATCGTTTTTCCCTTTGCGTTTGTTTGGCTTTCTTTTCTTTACTATTTGGTCAAGGGCGGGAAAAGAGAGACCCAGTTACTTTCGTTACTTTTCAATTCCGAGTGAGGAGTGTACAAACACACACTTTAAATGTCTTTCAGCACTCATGACCATCTTGATTTTATGCACTAGTTAGAGAATGACCAACAAAAACCTTAAGAACAGCCTGAAATCCGCTGGAAACTACCCCCACCCCCTTATTAGGATGGGGAGGGCTCACTTGGTAAGATTTTCCAGTCATAAAGCTAGGAGTTTCTACTTAAGGACTTTCATGTTAAAAGAAAATAAGATCTAATTTATTTAAGAAGAACGAAATCATTCATTTGACAAGTCATTTAGAAACATTAGAACAGGAATAAACAATTTTGTTCAGCAGCGACCTCATCAGAAGAGCCCACGGACTTTAAAGAGTTAAAATGTACATAACCCGACACACAATCCGATTTTCCCAACAGCAGGAATTTAAGTTGTGAATTTTACATTACGTAATTATATACTGGAGTTTCTATTATTTTCTATTTTCCTTTTATCTGAAACAATATGACAGAATCTCACTAACACAAGATTTCAGTATTACAAGATTAAAACTAAAAGGGAAAAATTGGTTTGGTGGTTTAAATGAACACAAAATGGAAGCATGATAGATGGTGCTCAAAATCTGAAAAGTCACTTGCTGTAATAAGCCTTCAAATATGATTTTTTTTGCAAATTAAAAAATCAAAAATTCTACTTTTAATATAAACCCACGTATTTTGAGACACATTATCTGTACATAACATCTTAAAACGTTCAAGTGTTCGTAAGTGACTGAAGAAACTGCTATTCGTCCATTTTGTGAAAATGCATGAGTACGGCCAACTATTTTTGGTTTTAAATAAGCTGCAATGTTACACTTTATGATACACTACACACTCTTTATAAAGTTGGTACCTAAATGACACCCCAGAACATCTCCACCAGGCAGTTCAGTCTGTCAGGTAAGTTACACAAGGTTAATTTTTGGAAGTATGAAACTGCACACTGAGGTTCTGAAAGCTTTGGAGCCCTGTTTCTCCCGGATTACCATTATCACAAATCAGAGGGAGGGGCGTGAAGAATTAAATCACAAGATCTTGAAATGAGTAGCATTCGAGCCTATAAAACAAGCAGGAAAGTACAGCAATACGGCTGGTGTTTGCATATTACATGTGCTATCGTTTCCAGGCACGACAAGTGTAGGGTGAAGCTGACATGTTTAGTTCCTGAGACCGAATGGATTTAAAATACAGCTCATTATTTCCCCCAATATACTTAACAATCCAGTACATCTTAACTAAATTCCACTTGTGGATCCTATAGTGCAAGCAATATAAAATACTCTAGAAGTTGAAGAAATTATTTCATTAGTTATTAATCTACGCGTGGGTGGGTAATCTGGTTTATAGCTCGGAAACTCCTACTTCATCACCCAGAGTATAAACAGCACTGCAAACAAACAGGCACGACAGTGTAATCCTGGGTGAGAAGCTCAGCGTAAAAAACATATATATACAAAGTTTATATCCCTTATGTGTCACGGGAAAAGTAGTGAGTGTGGCTACCATAGAGCTAAACTGTCCCCCCCCAAATAGTATATTTTACAGATTACTTGTAAAGATATCACCATATTTATAGTATAGATCTCTTTAAAAATAATACTACAAGTTCAATAAAAAAACTATTCTGAACTTTCTTTCCTTTCTATACAGATTCAGTAGTATTTTCAAGCAAACTAAACAAAAAAGTTTGCAATCCCAGCACATAAGAAATAAGGCCTCGTTTTTTTCATATAGGCAAAACAAAATATATATATATATAAAAAGTCACCCTCCCCTACACTTTTCTATAGATATAATAGTTCATATACTCATATCCATCATGACATCAGCATTTCTCATTTTTAGGTAACAAGTCAGCTGAAGTTCATAGTGTGGCTTCTGAATCCCTGGAACGTTAAGAACACTGCGTGAGTGTCACTTCAAGAAGACAGGACTGCTTTTTTCAGCTTCTCTATTTCCACCTAAAACACAAAACACAAAACACAGATTGAGCAACAGATAAAATATCTTTACTCTAGTAAAGTTGATTTACTTTATCCTATGCCATTAAGATCTGATCACACTTTCAAGCCTCCGGCTTTTGATTTCCATTCTAAAGTCCAATTTACAACAGTGCAATAAATACAGGAAGAAGGCAACAGGGGAAAACGTCATGACACAAGTTCCTAAATGGCAGGTGACAACAACAAAAAAGCGGCTACGGCTGTTTCAGCCGGAACAACGGCACAGCATGTGAGCCTCTGAAAGATCTGTAAGAAAATTAGCCCTACAAAAACCGAAAGTATCCTTGAAACCAAATTAAGAAGCACACATACCTGTAATTAAACAAAGGGGGCAGCACAGAGGAGTTACAAATAAAGAAAGGGACAAGTCTAGTTCTCTTTTTCACTTACTACTTATGTGCCATTGGTAAATCACTTAACCTCACTCGGTCTTAATTCCCTCAACTGTAAACAGTATGTTCTAGATTAAATCGCCTTTAAAGCCCAGGAGTATATACAAAATTCAGTCAATGGGTTAGAAATATTTCCACCAGCAGGCAGAAGACATTCCTCACTTAATACAAATTCATAATTTGAGAAACCTAAGAAGAAAGTAAGAAAAATTCTTTAAATTTTCACAGTAACTATAGAGAGCTATTTGATTTTGATGTATTACAAATGACTAAGTTGAGGCTCAAAGAGATGAAACACCACACGGGCGGCTCCAGGTCCATGGGTGCGCAGACTGTCCCGGTCAGTTTGAGGCTCTAAAGGCCGCAGCTTTTGTAGTCTCTTCCCAGTTAGATGACATCTCGATCATCCCTAACCTTCCACTGCATGTAGAAACACAAAGTCCTTACCTTCTCCTGACAGCATCACCCTTCTCCCCAGCAACGTACAGAAGTAACACACACTGTGGCTAACTCCAGACAAGTCGTTCAGTGTTAGATGATGAGCATTTTGCCACAGTCAAGAAGTACAATTTCAAGAAGCTCACCACCTCCTAGGGGATCCTAACCATTTGAGAATGGTTTGCAAATTCCACGATCTTTCTTGATACTATTTGACTAATATGATTAATTAAATACGTTAACAGCATTGGACTGGAACCAGTCTTAGTCTTCAGCCTGGATTGAGACAAAGTATCTTCAATCTTCAGCCTGATGTGCTATTGTCATCTCTGTTCCTAAGATACATTAACCACTGTACCAATTTGAATGTGCAAGGATGCAGAGAAAACAAAGAAAACACAAACACTGGGAGGAGAGGGAGTGCGGGGAAGAGAAACTCTGCATGCAGTCAGTAACGCCCCTTACAGACTGCTCCTGGTCACGTAAGTTTAGGTACCAAACACTTGCATTGCTGGACTTTCTCTTCTAGCACGTTTGCATTCACCGTTCATCATTAGTCCTTTTTATCACCCCTTGGTAAATTTAATACTATGTAAGGTTAACGTTACAGTAGTTGAAAGCACTATTTTTAATTTGGGGTGAAATGTAATTTCTCCTTTAAACATGTGATCCTAAAACTCTACCGCCTTATTAAGTGTGCTTTTGGAAATACAAGGATCAAACTTTCCTCATTTAAAAAAATAAACTTATAATAATACAGGTCAGCGAGAAGCTAAGTAACCGCTGATTTTGCTGCAAAAATAAAATCAAATAAAATTCTTCAAAAAAGAAATAAATAATTCATTTGACTCTTTTCATGATTTTAATGACAAACTAAATCACATACACAAATTTAACACTGCGTTAGTTCCTCTTGCTTATCTTATTATTTTCATATATGAATATAAATGTGTTATGTATAAAATATAAGGAATGAGAGTCGAGAAACGTTTTAATTTTTTTTCTACCATGTTTCACACTGGGAATTTAACATGTGTTTAGAAGATACATGTTAAAAATGCATCTTCTAACATGTACTGGTTTCACAAAAATGTGTTAGCTGTCTAATGCGTATACAGCACTGCAGCTGTGCCAGGAGCTATGGGCAAAGGTGAAGCAGGAAAACATCCCACCTCCAACAGCACAGAAAATGGGCAAAATGAGTACATAATCAAAGAAAATGATTATTTATTCATCTCTTACAAACTAAAGAACATGAGTTTGGAATAAGAAAAATCTCTCTTAATCAGAAGACTGGTGGCCAACTCAATCAATGTGATTGTTTGAGCTGGGCCTTGAGATCTACAGAACTTGGGCGTGAGAAGAGGAGACAAAAGGAAAATCCACAAAAATACAGTAAGAGTAAAATTTCAGACAAATGAACTGTAAGGGACGACTGAGGATCAGCACGTGAGGAAAGAAAGCTAAACTAGGGCCAGGCACATAAAAGACCTCATGTGCTGAGTCAAGAAGCTTGAACTTTATTCAGCAAGTAATAGGAAGTTCTTGAAAATACTGAGCAAGGAAAGATGAAGATAAGGACGAGAGCAACTTAAGCAAGCTAAACAGAAGACAAAGAGCATGAAAAAGGGATAGGAATACGGGGAATAAAGAGAGAAAGGTCAGGGGAGCAAAAAAGCCAGCAGGCCTGGAAGTGAGTAGAATCGGAAGAGAACAGAAATACCAGATCTGCAGGACCAGGAGGGCAGCAAACCATCAACAGAAGCAGAAAATCAGAATCAGAAAAGACGGTGCTATGTGTGACAGGGACATGCCAAGTCTGAGTTCACAGTGGAGCATCTGTGGATACTAACAGCTGGCAGCACGGGGTAGAAGCTGGGAGAAGAAGAACCAGATTTCGATGGAAGGTGCACCGGAGGCCACCATGTTACTCCTGGGTACAGACGAGCAGCGGGGGTGCACGACAGGAGGGCCAAGGAGTGCTGGGGGAACGTCTCACTCAGGTTAGGAGAGCCGGAGAAGTCAGAGACAGAAGAATCCCCCCATCCAGTAAACCGAGACACACTTTGAAAAGGTGGCAATGGTAAAACTGTGAAGCGCTGGAGAAACTGAAGAGACGCAGGAGTTGCCCCCAGCAAACCCAAAATGCAGAGGTTTGGTCAAAGACTGAATAAAAAGTGAAGAATCAGTGACTGCAAATGTGTGCTTTTTTTGTTTGGGGTGGGGGGGGGGGCAACAAATGAACCCCAGATGAAAAGAGAAAACTACAGATCAAGGGGGCAGCCAGACCGAAAAGAGGGCTTTTTGTTTTCTGAACAAAGGGAAAAACTGAGTATTTTCGTGGAAAGAAGGGAGAGTGTGGATAAAGGTGACATGTCAGATATAAGAGTAAAAATGCGGTTTTGATAATTTACCCAAATACCTTCACATATATTATCTCAACCACTAAAGCTAAAGCAGTCAGTGACTTACTCGATCGAGTTCACACAGTGCAGCTGAATCCCTCAGGACAAAGGTTTGGAAGCCTGGCTGCTTCTGTTAAACATGTCAGCCCCACTGCCGACCTCTTCAGCCTACACCCTAGATTCCTCACCCTTAGAACAGGAACACTAATCCTCTCAAGCTGTGCTGCCCAGCGGGACAACGCTCAGAAGGTGCGGCGGCGCCGGAGTGCCACACGCCGTTCAGCGCTCCAAGTCAGGGCGAGGGCCCAGGTTTACGAGCACGGCCCGCGCTCTGTCTCCCAGGGCTGACAGAGAAACGGGGCAAGTAACGAGCGCGGCAAACAGAGGGAGGGGGGCAAACGCTGCACCCAGAATGGGGAGAGTCTCTGCACAGGGGCAGGACACACTTTCTCTGAGACACGCAGGAGAAAATACAATAAAAGACTAAAGTCAGAGAGGACAGGAAAAAAATAAGGAAGATTAAGAAAATAAGTGAAGCTGTCAATCATCAGCAGAGAGTAAAGATGAAGGCATCACCGTTATAAAGTGAACTCAGTTCACTGCGAAATCAAAGTCAGCATCCCCCGCCCACCCCCCTACCACCACCCCGGCCCCCGGGGAAAAAAAGAAAAAAACTGTTTAACTGTGAAGAAAAGAGAACTATAGCTCAAGAAAGAAGCAGCGCTGAGTGCAAAAGGCCTAGAACAAGACACTTTTAGGAGGAAAGAAGCATGTTCATTTTACGCACGAGTGTATACCTTGTCCCACATGCACTGCCTACGAGTCCGCGCTTGGAAAACATGTGCTGAACGAACGGAATGCGGCAGGGAGTCAGCGGGGGTTAATTAAACGGCTACCGAGCAGTGGGGAGTGCCCGACTGAGTGGAGGAGGACAGCGTCATGTGCAGAGTCATGTGCAGAACCGATTACCCAGCCGGGCTGGAAACAACACGTCTAGTCTACGCTGACTACCGTCTCACTGCTGGAAGAAGAAATCAATTACCTCTAGATTACTTCTCACTGCCTTCTCTTCTTCCAAATCTTTTCGCAGTTTTTCCAGTTCTTTCCTAAAAACAAAGTGTTACTGTTAAGTCTTTCAATTAAGCAATATATTTGACTAAAGTTAACGGGATCTCTGTGGCCTGATATTCCAGAACATAGGGGAAACTTTTTAAAGGAAGTGATAGCCAGGTTGATTAAGAAAAAATTCAAATTCTCTAGCTGTAATGATTCAATATGACACGTAAAAACTCAGCGAAATCATGGCAGACCAACCTGAGAGAAAGATATTTTTAAGTGAATACAGATAATTTTCCACATTCAGTTATCATGCATTTCCCAGGCAGGACACACTTACCACCCAAATAATTAGGTAAAATAAACGTCAAAATATGTCACAATGCAAGGCAAATTATAGTTTTTAATAGAATAACTTGGACTTTACATATCTCTTTCTCTGCTTTTTAAATTAAATATTATATTAAAATCCAAAATCAAACCAATAAACAAAAAATTCAGCCAACAGGCCCTCTTCCTTAATTCATGTTTTCATTTTCCTGTGTTCCCTTTATATAGTCTCTTCCCCTCCATAGATGTAAATGTTCTATAATGCGTCTTTTCACAAAGTATTTTAAAACATTTCCATGCTGCTAAAATCTTCCTCCTTCTGATAACTGGTGTTTGGTATTCAAATGTCCAGGTGTTTTGTTGGGCTAGTTGGTTTCTCGGGGCTGGGGGTAGAGGGGTGGAGGGGATAATAGCTTGAGAAACTCATGAAAATTCTCATGAAGAAAGAACATATAAGAAATGAAGGTAGTTTTAAATTACATAGTTTCAAGACTAATTTTTTCTGTTTTTAATGATTAGAAAATTCTTTATATTGAAAGTAGATTTTCTACTGTTTTCTACTGACTGTAATTTTAAAGATAATATTTAAGTCAAATTTACCTAGCTTATTTTGGTATGTGATATAAACTGTGCTTCTAAGCTAGTTAACTTTATATTTCCATAAGGTTATCACTAAATTAAACAATGCTTTCTTTTTCCAAGTTTCTAAGTTTATTATACATTTAATTTATACCTAAATTAGGATCTACTGCTAAAATATTCATCCTGCTCTACTTATCTGTACTTACAATAGTTACATTATTCTAATTATCTCCTTTTTGATCTGAAAATTTAGGACTACTCTCACATTTTTGTTACCTTTTAAAAAACACATTTACAAATAAAAGATTTTTCCATGTCAATTGCAAAACAAGATAAACTGAAGAATTCAAGAAAGAGCATGATCAAATTCCTTCTCTATATATGATATAAATGTGCATAATATATGTACTTTTTAAGAAGTCATTCAAGATAAATTTATGTTTCTAAGAGAAGTTTGTAGACGTGCTCTGCAAACTACAAATACATGTTGTTCATCTCAATATTGTTTTTAATAAGTAACCCAATGTCAACTGAGAATTGGAGGAGAAACGGTAAATTCAAGCTCAGTGGTACCGTGATCTCTGGCAAGACTTTTATACCAGACTCCATATTCCAAGAAATACTGTTAGAGGCTACAGAAAGAAGCTGAAACAGGGAAAGAACACCTGAACGCTCACCCCCAGTTCAGTTACATTAGCTGATCTTTGATCTACTTTACCTATTTGGCTTTTGTGGAATTATGTTTGAAGTGTTAACACATTTTAAAATCCAAATAATAATAATTATAAGAAAAGATCTCTGAATTAATCGAAGATACGAGTTTGAGTTCTAGCTCTGCCGCTCAGGAGCCGTGTGATCTCAGATGAGCAGACCTCTCCCTCAGCCTCTCTCTTCACATAAAAGGAGGGAAAGGACTCCAGCACGTGGTCTTCCAAACTTACCTGAGCTCTAAGAGCTCCCTAACTCTCACCTCGTATGGTATGTCTCACCTCACACCATCATCAAAACCCCTCAGAGTTAAGAGAAGGGCCTTGTAGATTGCCTATCCCAGGTTTTACAACATCCAACTCAACCCCAGCAGAAGCAGTGATCAAAGTCCTCTGAGACATAAACCAAATATACACACAGATACACCCCAGATCCAAAATACAACATGGCTTTTCCTAATATTTTCAAGACTAATTAACCTGTGTTTGACATTTCTAGCCTTAAAGTATGTTTTTAAGGTTCATCTATACTGTAACATGCATGCGTACATTATTTCTTTTTATGGCTGAATAAAATTCCACTGTACAGGTGTGCCACGTCTTGTTTATCCATTCATCAGTTGATGGGCATTTGGGTTGTCTGCACTGCTTTGGACTTGCACAAACACCTGTGCACAAGTTTTTGTTTAAACACTTGTTTTCAATTCTGTTGGACAGTATTGCAACTTGAAGGGGGATTGCTGGGTCATATGGTAACATGATATTTAACTTTTTGAGTAATTGCTAGACTGTTTTCCAGAGTGGCTGCACCATTTTACATTCCCACCAGCAATGCATGAGGGTTTCAATTCCAAGCTTTCCAATTCCTAATTAGAATAACTAGAATTAATAATTAGAGTTTCTAATTATTACATTTTCTAATTCAAGTTTTTTTGCCATAGGAGAGAAACACTATTAAAAATTTCTTTGAAAACAAACTTGCTCACACTAGAAACTTGGCAGATTACTTCTTTGCCTGGTATGATTTGGAAGAATTCTTTACACATGTCTTAAGTAGTGCTCAAGGAAGGAAATAAAGGCCACTCACCCATGATCCTTTTTCAGTGCTTCCACAATGCACAGCAATTCAACAATCTGAGCTCTAAGTTCATCCAACGAATTTTTCTTCCCATCATCTGTTTCTGCCTTAGCTTTGATTTCTAATGGAGTTAGAAAAGCAGCCGTATTTGGTTTAGAAGCACTTGAAGGTGTTGAAAGATATGCAGACGGCTAAAAACAGAAAAAAACAGAAAAAGTTTATTTTATTTGTACTTATATTTAAGTTCAAAAGATTTTTAACTGCAAGGAGATAAATAATTGATGTACTACTTTCAAGATAAATGATAAATTCAAAAAGCAGCTTGATGTTCACAACTAGAAAAACCAAAGACTCAAAGAATAAACAATTACTACAGGTTTTTATAAGAAATGTCAAGGGCTTTATCTTAAAAAAAGAAAAAAGGGAAAAGGAAAATTCACGAGATTTATCTTATGGATGGTTTGCCTATGGAGCATCCACAAGCAAGAACATGTCAGCATTATTAAGGTACCTCATATTAAATAGTTATTATTTAGAATATCCAAAGAGCTTCACTTAAAAGTAATCATGAAGAATTTAGTAAGTCCATTGAAGAGGCATTGAAATGAATCCACAGCCTGACACCCTTTTACTATTTCACTTAGGCAACAGCACGTAAAATCTCAACAGACTGATGACAGTTGACAGAATCAGAGTAAGTGTACCGGGTAAATTGGATTCTCAGTCAAATGCCCTGAAATGAATTTGAGGAAGCAGCATGATCTTCTCAAATATGTGTGTCAGCTGTGGTTGTACTATCTTACAGTGCAAGGGTTTAGCAAAGACGCTCAACACCATGTAGCAGGTGGAAAAACCCAGGAATTCCACCGTTCACTCCAGTGTGCATTCAGTGCTTATGACCAGGCCAGGCACCGAGTGACATAAGGAGTAAAAACGCAACAGCTTCTGACCTAAAGAGGCATGTTTAATGGGAAAGGAAACAAATGTATAGATCTCTGCCTTATAAAATATAAAATATGCAACATCTCTATTACTCATTTAAAATAATGTAACTCTTCTCAAAAAAGATCTATAGAGAATAAGAACGTAACTTAAGTTTAACATGAATTATTTTTATTTAGTTGTAGTAGGAATTATTTTATTTCTTGGAAGAAGAGATACTTCTTCCCAACGGATACTTTAAATCCCATCACTTTGATGTTCACAAAGAACGCTACAAATTACACAATCTTAGACCACAACGCGCCCCACCTTTGGAGAGTAGCATGGGTCCTTTTTAAGCTCAGATGGCTTCAGGCTGGCACTGTCATCTTCTTTTGGTAACTTCGAGATTTTTTCTGGGCTGTGAGTCGGCTGAATGATTAAAAAAAAAATCAAGAAACAGAAAACAGCAAAGAAGGAAAAGCTAGTAAGCATCTGAATAAAGCAAGTAACTTTCATCACTGTTTCCAGCAGCTACTGTTCCAGATAGTCTATTATTGTTAACAGGATGTTACATAATTTCATGTTGAATAACACACTTGCTTATCTAGAGGGTGGGAAAGCAGCCTGCCCACGAGCAACCACAATTTTCTCTCCTTAGGGAATTTAAAAGTGCAATAGTGCTTAAGAGCTAATATATTAACACTGAAGTACTAACAGTATCCCGCGCAATGTCCAGAAAGCATAAAAAGAAGTTACACATTTGGAGATGAAGATTAGTACTACAAAAAACACGATTTTGTGGGGGGAAATGTTCTCGTTCTTTCCTGAAGCGAATATACATACCACTCAAGTCCAATTATTTTTGTCAGATGAGTAGATTACACCGTCTCCCTGGCCCCTTCTGACACCGTGCTGTGTGGCTATGGACAACTCTATTCCTACTTCTGTAAACTTCTATTCCAAGCCCTGTTGAACTGAACAGGTTTCTTTCCCCCTCTTTTAACCCTCGGCCACTTCCTGACTTTTAAACTTTGGCGGAGCTACAAATCCCCCCTGATTCTTATCTTCAGAAGCACTCTGGATTTGCTAAATTCTCTGTGTTTTAGAATAGTAAATGCCACCCACTGAATGTCCACCGTTGAAGCGGCCAGGCAATCTTCTCCCAGGCATCTTCGGTCTATTTGCAGTGAGATGTAGCAAGTTTTCTGAGGAAGCTATGTCATCAAAATTTATAAGATCTGGAGAATAGAAGTAAATACGTCTACTAAGAGATAACTACATTTTAAAAGGAAAAAAAAAAGTCTCTGGGTTTTTAACAAACTATAAAATTAAAGAGACCACGATGACTCACAAGTTGATCTGTGCTTTTCATATGCATTTGGAAAACAACACTCACTCTTGAAAACAAACATCTTCTTTACCTGGTACAGTTTACATATTAACAATATAAAGTTCATGTTTCTAAAAGAGACTTAGACCTCAATAAGAGTTCTCACTAAAAGATATAAATCTGTACCATAGGTTGAAGTAGTTTGAAGAAGTGATCATCTTAAGTTCTTGCTTATTAGAAAAAAAAACGATCTATTTCTTCAACTCAGAATTAATTACAACATATCGGAAAATTAACACACGAAATTTGTTTTAAAATTCAAGTAATATCCTAATATTAAAATTTAAAAACTCAATTACATCTCGGACCCTGCTGCTTCCCAACTGCATTTCTTAATGTAAAGTGAGAGTGTAATTTTATGTACACATGTATGTGCACAGTATATTGTAGCTGGGACTCAACCTACTTATAGTTCATTACACTTCTGCTTAGACATTATGTGTTGGAATTATGTGATAGGTATAAACCTAAGGCAAATCAGATACCAAGGGAAAATGCCACATAAAGTATCCATTTGCTTCCCCAACGCCAAAGGCTGTTTGACCTCTGAGTCAATAATTTGGGTTTAAGGACAAATCTGGGTAATCTGTACCTCTGAAATGATGGTATATATAATATCTTCCTTTTCCTAGATGGTCCAGAAAAACTTGCTAAAGAAGGTGATCTTTAATTTTGAAGTCCAGGTATCTGTAAGTGATGTAAGAACCCTAGGGGTAACTGCAGACATTTCCATTTGTCATTCTAATCTTCCTTTGGCCCAGATTCCAAACTAAGGCTATGAATCACAGTCAATAAGCCATCACTCATTATGGTAGCCTAGCCTTCCAGGTATGGAATCAGTCTCACATTACCACTGCCTGGAAGTTTATACCGCCTGTCTGTCAAATATTTAGATGTCCAAACTCAGAGAATTCTTACAAGAAATTTAAAGATACTTATCATTACTACCCTCAAAGCTTATTCATCAACTTTCATATTCAAAGTAATTTATTTAGAGAATTTTTTTAAAGGGATGGAGGATACAAAGGTGAAATAGGAAGAGGTCATCACTGTTTGGTAATATGCATTTTAAAACAACTATAAGTATTTGCTGATCTCTGTTAATTCTTTTCCATGTTCACGTTCTGGGATTGCTTTGCGTGTTCTATCTTGCATCTAGTCTCTAGTTTAATACATCACAACAGGCAATCTAATGTGCTTGTTTTAATTTTTGTCTTTAAGTCGTTCAATAAGTATCTATAAATAATGATAATATATATAACAAACCACAATAAGAAACAGTGGTTTTAATGGAAAATGCATTAAATAATGTGAAAGACCTTGAGTTTAAATATATATTTAAATATCTCATTTTGTTAGTTTTAAAGACAAAACAATATTTTAAAAGATGTTAAAAATATGCTATAGTTCGCAGAGTTAAAAATTGTTTTTTACATTACACTTGATCTTAGCCAAAAGGCCAAGAAGTGATGTTTTTTACGTTGATACTGGCAACCTACTAAAAACTGTTAAAAAGTACAATCCAATCATTTTGGCCTGTGGAGATTATTTTCAAATGCATATTTAAGCAACTTGCAGAAAGAAAAAGGAACAAACAAAAACACAGGAAGGTATAAAGATAAATGAAACTGAAATGGTAAATAAAAGGAAAATTTACAAAATTATACATCATGCTCATGTAAAATGCCTTTCATATGTCCAGTTTTGGACTACAACACCAAGACAATTTTACTATTCTAAAACTCTCTCAGGTCCTCCATTTAAGACGTTAGGTTAGTGAAATGAAATAGTGCACATTTTGGACTCACGATATATTTGAAACTTTTTAAATTTACCTAAGAGTGATATCAATGGATTTATATTGTACAGGTGGCATAAAAGCATGACAATCACTTAACTCTTGCAATCACACTGTCACTCTGCCAGCCATTTACATTTCTACACGCTGCTTAAGACATAGAATTTTTAAAAATCAAAATGAAATATCAATTTTGGGAGAAAATAAACTGACTTCTATGGATATCAATTTAAAAAAAAAACTTTTAGCAAGAGTATTTTAAACTAATTAATCAAGAAAAATTTTCCAATATGAATTTCATTTTATTTTGAAATGGAAAACCAAAAGGGTTAGAATAGACAGACAAACATATATACTTTAGTAAAATTACAAAGAAAAATCAATGTGCACCACCTATTTATACTGAATATATTATTTTGACTTCTTTTATAAATTGTCATCTTACCAAAATGGAGGAAGGTAGGATAATTTCCTGACACGTAAGAAGGGAAACATGGCAAACAGGCTAGGAAACAAAATCTGGAAAGAAAAGTCAAGGATAGGAATGTCTAGAAAAAAGACTCAACCAAAAAAATTATTTTACAAAGCAGGAAAAAGGAACAGCTGTAGAATGAACAGAACCATTTCAACGTTCAGCAGATACTGCAGCTTATCTAAGTTTACATTACGATGTGTGTTAGAGTTTAGATTTATATTCTTTTGTCTTTCCAAGGGAAAAACTATGATTAGTATTTAATTTCAATATACGTTAAACTAGAAAGAAGCCTGTTTTTATTACTCAGTGAACATCAAGACAGCTTCTAAAAGGATGTTTTAGTACTGAAATTAGAGGCCAGAGTAATAAATCAACATATTAGCAACTCACTGATCCAACTGAAATTAAATCACCTTTTAGTCAAGTTTTAGTCCTCAACACATGACAGTAGTTACAATAAGAGAGGCAATTTTAATTCTGGTATGGTTTAATGAAAAAAAAATGCCAAATACTACTTTAAATATCTTATTATAAAAATACAACTCAACACAACACTTAAAAAAAGTCCCACATATATAAATGATACTCTCTGTGGGTATAGTCTATTTCACTGTGGAAAATGTGACACTCCCTATGATGGTATTATCAAGGAAATTATTAGAAAATAACATTTTTAATCTCTGCTCTTTATTTCCCAGGTAAATTCTACATTTTAGAGTGTGGTGTTTAGTTTTGTTTTGCTTTGAATCCTAGTTTATAAATACAGGCTCACTTTTTACCGTGTCTACCACTCAACCGGTAGACATCTTTTTGAAAAATCTCACCATAAATTATTTCTGGAAGGAAAAAATGAATATTGGGAAATTAATTCAAACAAAACAGATCAATTATCAACTACAAATGAAGAGAAAGAATGTTGCCCTATTTAACAATGATGTCTTTCAGATCAAATAATGTATGTTATCTCTAAAATTTCCTGTAACCCAAGAAGAATTTATCACAATCAAAAAGGATAAAATACTACTATAGTCTAAGAATGCGTCATCAACTGTGCTTTCTCACTGAAATGCCATGTTTCCACTAAATTTTCTGTCTTGTATTTTTAAAACTAATTGTAAACCAATTTTACTTCCTGGAAAATTTACTGTTTTAGAAATACTGAGACTATGTGAACTTTATAATTATTCAGTAGTAGCAGTGAGATCCATCCTAAATCAAGTTTTGATGAAGTGTTGGCAAAAGAGGGGAAAAAGTTAAAATATGGTTTAACAGCTCTGCAATGTGTAATACCATCTTGCCTCATATATGAGAACATTTATAGAGGGACTTCTTTAAAAAATGGAAACAAATTGAGTGCTCTAGGAATGTTTTTCTTATATGAACAAAAGTCAGAGTCTGCACTTACAGACATAAATATGTTTACGTAAGACTTTATACACAAGAAAATTTTATCTGAGAGTAGCAACAGGAATTTATAGATACGAGCAGAAACAGAATAAGATGGGGTAAACAATGGAGGAAGGGGAGGAGGAAAGAAATCACATTTTTTAACAACTTCTATGTCAGGTATTCTAACAGGTATCACAGATATAACGGCAACTTCTATGTCAGGTATTCTAACAGGTATCACAGATATAACGGATCATTCAATTGTTAGTTAAGTGAGAAAATAAGAGAAAAAACATGCCAATGACCAATCAGCTAATAATTTAACACCCACATTTTAACAGCAAAGTCTTTCTATGTCATTTCACCTCAAATCATTCTTTTACATAATAATGAAACACTAAGGAGATTTTCATGTATGTTGTAAACTTTCTGAAATTTATGTTAAGGGGCAAGTTTCATGTCATTAAAATTTAAAACCTCAAACTGAGCCATTTATAAAAATTAAAACATGCCTCAACCTAATGCCAAATTTGAGGCTGTATTTGATGCAGAACGTTTCTCTTTAAGGTGCCAACATCTCAAAAAAGAAGTAAAACACTTTTATACCATAAATACTCAGAACATGATATTCTAATTTTAAAAAGATAAGGAACGGCCTCTGAGCTGAGGTTTGAGAGATAAGCTATGTGGGCACAACTCGTGCCCAAAACACTAGATACTTGCTCAGGAAATATTTGCTACTTAATATGAACTCAAGTTCCAAAATTTACATTTTCTGAACTTTACAGGGTGTAAGTGTAGTACACCAAAGGCAGTCTGACAGGGGAAGATATGAAGACTGCAGCCTGGCGGTTAGCTGTTAGGTTTTTGACCTTATATAAGCCTTGGCATCTCTAAATTACTTCCTTATTCATTTCAACAACAAAGGAAAAAAAATTAGAAATTTTCAAACCTTGTTCCACAAAGCCTCTATTTTTTAATGAAGAGGAAATAATGGCTATTGATATAAGACAAGAATTGGGACCCAAAACAAAGGAAAAAAAATAGAATTTTTCAACCACCAACAGGGTGACACTGTACACGTTTTTAGAAACAGCAAAGGAAACAAACCTTGCTCGTAATCATATATAGAAAAAGTTTCGAAAAAAAGTGAAAATCTGTTTTAATTTACTTAAATTTTTTTGTATAACTTTGAGGCAACTAAATGAAGCAGATGTTCAAGAATGATACAAAGTAACAGAAAAACAGGAAAAAAACACAGGCTGTAAACATTACTCTTTCAACTCCCAAAGAGACTCAGCAAATTTAAGACTTGTGTGATAAAGACTGCAGAAAACTGTGGAAATTCAAAATAATACTTATGGATTTTTGATATCTAGGTTAGAAGTATGCACTTAATCTTTTTTCTCCAACTATTACTTTTGAAAACACATTTCTAGCTATATTTTAAATCAAACAGAAAATAATAAGAACTGACAGAATTATATTTTTTTACCATTAACCTCAGTGAAAAAAATGTAAAAAATATTTTTTAAAAACATAAAGATGAGTTTTTTGTTTTTATTTAACAGTAAATAAGAACAATTTTCACTGAGAATATACTGAATATATTTGAGAGAATATCTCTAAAATACAATCAACATCTCAATTTCCAGAAATTATTGATGAATATGGCTTCATCCAGATCAAGCAGGATCTAAATACATGACAAAAGATCTATAAAACATTCAAATTGAAAAACTGAAGGAGGCCACGCTTGGGTCGGAGGTTTTGTACTGGCAAACTAAAGACAGGGAAGAAAAGTAAGTCATTTAAAAAAGCTGAAAGGTAGTAAGTACCACCTTTTACAATATAGTGACAGAAAAATCTTGTGTAACTGGCCTTGAAGTTTACATGTGAAAAAAAAAAAGTTAACACTGAAGCTAAAGAACACATTAAGACATTAAAATTTTTTTAAAAGAAAATCACAGAGAACTCTATATAAAGGGGATTTAAAGAGTTCTTTTCTGGTTTACGTGATCTTGAACATTTACTATGTCTGTAGCTTTCTCTCTGTTTAGACGCAAAATAGGGGAAAATGGTATCTGCCTCCTAGAGTCAGTGTCAAAGATAAAATAAGAATATACATGAGAAAACGCTTTAAACACGTTAAAAACTAGAAACAAATACAAAGTGCTATACAATAACCATTACCACAAAGTAGTGACTATGTGATGTTTTTAATAGTGAGACCTTTATCAAGACTTCTCTGTTTCAAGTTTTCTATTTTACAACTGAGAGGTATAAAAGATCGGGAGACAAAAATGACTGCTGGGCTGAAAAATCAGTCCTAAAACTTAAGGAACAACATTTAGCTAAAGAAGTAAAGCCTGCTGATCGATCGATTGATTGATCTATCTATATGGGGGGGGGGGTAGTATCAGAGTCATAAAAGAGCCTATTTTCCAGAAGGGGAAACAAAAGTATCTTGAGATTTAAGTGGAAAAATAAAAATAAGTCTTCTTAAATACAATCTAGCGTGGGCACTGAAAGTCTATGGCATCTCTTTATTTTTAAACTTTAAAAACTAAAAGGTACTTCTACCTGCCTAAGCTAGGTGATACGGTCATTCCATTATCAGGGACAGAAGGATAAGGCTGACCTGTCAGGATCCATCTCAGTCTTCTGACCACTGAGAAAGCTTATGTGAACCATCAATATTTTGCCCATTTATATTCTTTGGCTTCAGAGATTTGTCAACAAATTTTTCTACTGTATCTATCCACACACAAATTACATACACAAATTTCTTATTTTAAACAGTTTCTACAAACCATATTTGCAACTTTTTTAATGCACCATCTTTCCACATGTTAACTTACCTGTTTCTTTCGAGCTCCTAACTGTAAAAGAATCTAGGTCTACTGATTTTGGTCTAAGTGGTAACTGTTCAGATTCTAGCTTTGGTTTTGATATTGGCTCAGTTTCAAACTTTGATAAAATGGAAGAAACTTCTCCATTAATCCTGAAATGAGAAAATCAAACATATGTAAAAATCATTTTGTGTATAAAGCATGACCACCTTTTAAAACATTGTGATTTAATGATACTGAAGATATTACAGTACTGATTTTTCTTTCTTGTCTATAAAATTATTTCTATAAACGTAAACCTCTAGCCTAAGACCAATCACAATAAAATCAGAAATGTAAAGCACCTTAATGGGCGTCTGTTCACCTAGTATGAATATAAGATTAATATTTAACAGAGATTACGGTCTATACAAAAAAATATGAAAAGCCAACACTTAATTACTTTGAGACTTAGAAAAGCATTGCAGTCAATTATGTCAAAGGTAGGCAAATCAACAAACTAACTTAAAATTAGGTAAAACTTACTTGGCTACAGGAGGTGGTGGAGGAACCGGTTTTTCAGGTCGCTTTGGGTACACTGTTCCAGAAGATTTCAATAAATTATTGGCTTTGGTGGGTGGAGTAGGCTTCTTGGGTGGGACTTGCGGAGCAGCTGGCTTAGGTTTCTGTTCCAGCACTGACTTTTCATCTGATTATTTAAAAATATATAGTAAGTTACTGACAATCAGAACTATTTTGGTTTTTCTACTTCTTAAAGCTAACGTCAGGCTGGAAAAGGGTGAAACAGACAGACATTATTTGTGTATGGGTGCGCTGCTTTAAAGTTTTAATTTACATTAGGAACCTTATTAGCACCATTTAACAGTCCTACAAAATAGGTAAGAAAATATTCTGGAAGAAACAACATTAAGAAAAATGTCATGCCGTGTTAATAAAAACAATTTTATCATCAAAAAGACATAGTTCTACATGTAGTGACATACTTAGCTCTTGATCTTTCAGGTACTGAGAACAGGCATTAAGATTAATACATGTGCACATATGAGATTGTCATGATACAGCAATCAGCAAAAAGTGTAACACAGGCCAATGTGCAGAAATAAGAAACTCCTAAGAATACTGAGTAATATTCAAAATTTACTAAGACTTTGAAGAGAATGTCTATCACAGGACCACAAACAATTTCATATTAGTCAGAGACTGATTATGAATCTTGACAAACATTCCAGGCCATGGTTAAACACCCTGTTCAAAATTACAGACTTCATCTAACAACAATAAAAATATAAAACACCACTGGGGGGAGGGCATAGCTCAGTGGTAGAGCACATGCTTAGCATGCATGAGGTCATGGGTTCAATCTCCAGTAACTGTGTTAAATTTTTTAAAAATTAATAAGTAAGTAAAACTAATTACCTCCCCAACACACACACACAAAATAATTAATTAAAATACTATTGTTTCAGTTTTATCATTTTTGTACAGCTTTCTTGGATCATTTGAAAATATAGCTTAGTCTATGAAAAACATCATCATCATTTAGTACAAAAGTCCATTTTTATATGGCCTCAAACTATACAAACTCATCATATAATTACGCCACCAGGAGTGAAAGCCAGAACTCCCCAATTCTAACCATAAATCAAGAGAACCATCAGTATCAGAGTTCTAATGGTCAGCCAAGCTTAAATTTCCAGAAAATATTAAAAGAAAGGTATTTTATATAAAACATCAGGGAAAATATTAAATGATCAATAGAAGTTCACTGATTAAGTGAATATACTTCTTTTAGCAGGTATATAAATAACAGCTTGAAATCAATTCAATTCCGTAAGTTAGTCTAAAACAAAAGAACACATTTAATATTTGTGGAAATCAAAAGTTACAAAAATAAGATTCACCACTCCTGGTATATCTATGACTAAATCAACTAATACACTAATACATGATGGCAATGTGTTTGAGTCCTAGATTTATTTATTTTTATTGATGTAAAATTTACATAATATAAAATTAACTCTTTTAAAGTGAATGATGCAATGCTATTTAGTATATCCACAGTGTTTGCAACCACCACCTCCATATAGTTCAAAAACCCTATCATTAGCCCAAAAGAAAATTCTGCTCCCATTAATCAGTTATTACCCACTCCCTCCCGTACCCAGGCCCTGGCAACCACCAGGGCCACCAGGGGTCCAATCTCTCCATTCTTGCCAATATTTCCAG